CTATTGAAAATTGCTGTTTTAATGCCTAATGTTACCAAGAATATGTCATCAGTTTAGATCATTGAAGCACATAGACATTTTTGTGGGACTCTTGTAACTGCCCAAAACTTTTTTTTTTTAATCCTCACTAGAGAATATTTTTTCATTGATTTTTAGATAAAATGGAAGGGAGGGAGGGGGGAGAGAAAGAGAGAGAGACAGAGAGAGAGAGAGAGAGAGAAACTTCAATACAAGAGAGAAACTTCAATACGAGAGAGTAACAAAAATATCTTTATACCAGCATCTTGTAGCTGTCATTCAAATGTCCTGTAAAAGTTTTATGAACTTGCCCTGGCCGGTTTGGCTCAGCGGTTAGAGCGTCGGCCTGCGGTCCTGAGAGACCCGGGTTCGGTTCCCGCTAAGGGCGCGACCTCGGCTGCAGTTTGTCCCCGGCCCTGGTTGGTTGTGCGGGTGGCAGCCACTCGATGTGTTCCTTTCACATCGATGTTTCTCTCTCTCTCTCTGTTCCTCTCTCTCCCTCGCACTCTACCTGAACAAAAAATGGAAAAATGTCCTCGGGTGAGGATAAAAAAAAAAAAAAGTTTTATGAACTCATTTAGGGTTCAATAAATATTAATGAGAACATTTGCAAGACAGTTTTGGCATTAGGACAGGCAAATTATTTATAAAATATATGCATCACTTATTAAACTGATATTTATGAATAACAGTGATACTTATTTTAACATGTTTATGAATATGTCTGAAGCACCCAAGCACCCATTAGTCCAGCCCAAGGTGAACTAGTTTTATTATAGTCAAATTCAATTTGTTTAACTTGTGGTTAATTTTTTTCCAGGATTCTTGATTATTACTAAACACACCTGACCCCTCTTGTTTACTAACTGCCAAGTATGTGTGGTAAAGTTTATTTCTTCCTCTAGACAATGGTCCATATTAGGCTATTCTCTCATATTGTGATTGCAAGCAGCAAATTGACTAGGCACCGGGGTTCACCATTTAAGGGACCCATTGAGAAAATTAAGCTTTCTCTAAAAGTTTCACCAGAAGATAAAAAAATCTATTACTTACTAAGGCTCAGTGTACAGTTGTTTCCTAACACATTTCCTAATAGCTTTGATTCAAACAGTGTTGAGAAAGCCTGTGACAAACCAGGATCACCTCTCAGACAAGGAGTCCATTTAGCAGTCTATTATACAATCCAACACTGTAACGCCATCTAATGGGAAACTGCATTGCAAAAGGTTCCCGAAAATCTTTAAAAAGAATAAGCCAGTGATCCTTGTAACAATCTAAGAGACATAAGGTTAAATACTAGCTACCATACATTAAGGAGTTATTTCTATATATGTGTTCCGCCAAGATCAAAACCCAGGTAGGCCACACTTCAGAGCCCTCTGCCCTGTCCTGCCCCAGAGGCCCTGGTCCCATAGAAGCTCCCAGATGAAACACCCATGGTCATTACTCTCAAGGCCCTGTCACTTAGAGAGAGAGAGAGAACATCTACCTAAGTAATTACAATTCCAAGTAAAATATATTAAGAGAAGTCCAGATCAAGTTACAAGCCAGTTCAGATGAACACAGATTTCTTGAAAATAACAACTTGGAGCAATGTTTTTCTGAGGGAGAGATTGCAGGGGAAGAAGGGGGATGAAGGGCATATGGAATATAACTAGTATTGCTACATGCCATTCCCTTTGGTAGAGGAGAAGACACCTTCCATTTGCTATCTTCTTTGTTCAGAAAAACCATACAAGTATTACTCCACAGTGCATGCAACTAAGTCAACTAGTGGCTAAAACTGGAACCCAGAAACCCTGAAGGTAACCTGTTCTTTTCTGTTTGTTCCATGTTGAGTACATTTTTTTTTCCGTGTTTACTTTGTGTAGGTACCTTTTGCTGATTTCTCATCCTGAAGAAAGAATATTTTTCTAACTCACACAAAGTTAAGTGACTACATGCAGGGCAAGGCACAGGAATCCTTAAAAGGCTCCCAATTACTCTGTCCCTAAGGCAGAGCCCCTGTGGGATTCCGTACACATTTATAATAGGCAGAAAAGCAGGCTCACTCTCATTTTTCTTCCTCCTCTTATCCTCCACATTTTTCCCCTCCCTCCTTCCATCCTTTATTTCTTATATAATCAGTTCAGAACTATTATGTGCCAGGCACTGCATTCTCTGGGAATGGAGAATCTGAAAAAAGTCCTTGCCTTAAATATTTGACCTTCATTCAGCTTCATCCAAGGCCAAAGCTATACCACTTAGTGGTTAAAGCCAGACTGCCCTAGTGTTTGTCCAAGCTCAATGACTTAGTAACTGTGCTATTTGAGCAAGCTACGTAACTCTGGGCCTAAATTCCTCTTCTGGAAGTGTGGATATTGACATATCAAACTCACTGGGTGGTTAAGGGGATAAAAGGAGTTAATAATAAGCAGAAAGTGGCAACACCATGCCTGGACAATCGTGCGCATTATTGGGACATTGTTATAATTTACTATACTCTGCTTGGCTTCTTAGAGAGAGTGGATTAGTCTGTCCAAAGTCTGGAAGATATTGCAGTTCAGTCTCTTCTCTCAAAAAGTAGAAATCAATTCATTGGCAGACATAATCTTCAAGGAAGGAGTGTCCTCCCCTCATAGCTAGAAGAAAATCCTCCATGTCTGTTTATACAAGGTCACTCTCAATGGGCAAAAGAATGGGGCTGAATACACAGCTTCTAACGTAAAATACCCTTCTCAAATTTGCCTATTAGCAGATCTTAGAAACATTTCTTAGACTGCTAAATCCCTATCAAGTTATTTGGAATGAATGTCTGTTCCTTTGAGAAAGAAATGAACTGAGCCCTGGCCGGTTTGGCTCAGCGGTTGGAGCGTCGACCTGCGGTCCTGAGAGACCCGGGTTCGGTTCCCGCTAAGGGCGCATACCTCGGTTGCAGTTTGTCCCCAGCCCTGGTCGGTTGTGCGGGTGGCAGCCACTCGATGTGTTCCTTTCACATCGATGTTTCTCTCTCTCTCTCTGTTCCTCTCTCTCCCTCCCACTCTACCTGAACAAAAAATTGGAAAAATGTCCTCGAGTGAGGATTAAAAAAAAAAAAGAAATGGACTGAAAGCAAATAGGGTAGGAGGAAGATAAACTGGATGACTAGTTGTGAATTTTTTGAAAGCAGAATTCCAACTTCACTCATCTTGGTAACCACACATTACTGTCTGGAATGGCTTTAGGAGTTTAAATGTATCTAGTCTTTATTTCAGGTGCTTTCATAACTGCAAACTGTTGATTTAAATTTTGTGAAAAAACAGTATTATACTTCATGAGTTAGTATATAAAACGCTGAGTTGCTTAAGGTAATAATGTTTCCCTTTCCCTGAGATCACTCAGTTGCCTGCTCCCTTAGATTGCTGTAAATGGAATGTCACAAGCAGAAAGTGGAGCTAAGATTGCTTCACCAAGGTTAAAGAAGAGTCACCTTGCTCAAACCTCATCTGCTCCCTGCAAGCCACCACCCAGCTCAGATTTTTCCACCACTCCACCAAATGCAAGCGCGACATATCAACCTTGTGGTTCCAATGACACAGCACATTGTGGCCCTCTTGAGCTCTTAGTTTGGTTTGAGCCATAAAGCAGGGGATGCCAGGAAAGGACATCTAGTGCCCACTGCTTCTTCCTGTCCAGTTTTTTCATATCATCCTCATCATTGTTAGCTATTTTATACCTCTGATGTGTCTCTTATTAGATCCAGGAAGAAAGGAAGAGATGAAATATTAGCTTTCCTACTTCCACCAGCCCGCTTTTTCCATTCAACCCAGCCCACTCAGTACTACTTCTGTAAAAGTGTAGGCAGACACGTGCAGCGAAGCCACTCCTTTCTCTCTCTCTCTCTCTCTCTCTCTCTCTCTCTCTCTCTCTCTCTCTCTCTCAAACACACACACCCCACACTTAATTTTAATAGCCCTGGTGTAGACCACAAAATTCCCTCGCTAGCCCTACCGGGAAAGTGGCCCTTGCTCACAGCCGCCCTTGCCAAGCCAGCGTGCAATCCCTTTCCTGGAAGTAAGGAGTAAGGGAGAAAAGCGGATGGAGAGAGCCTCTGCATCAGCCCAGAGAAGAAGGCAGTTCGCACATGAGCCGCAGCCAGCCTCCCGCGCTACCTGGCCTGGCGCCCCAGCGTGGCGCAGGAGACTAGGAAACCCGGCGTGAGCTGCCGGGGGCGCAGGCCCTCTGAAAGACACACTTGCCTTCTGCCAGGGCGCATACCTCGCCAGCACACACCTTGCCACCAGCCTCTTACCCCAACATGCTACCTGGTGACCAAAGAAGAAGACGACCTCCCTGATACTTCGTCCCCTCCCAGCCTCTCCTCTCCGAGCCCCAGATAGTCTGCTAAAAGAGAAGACACTCCCTACACACCTTGACCACCAGCCCCACTCTAGACCCTTGCTGTGCAGGAGACAGGCCACCCTGATGATCGTGGGCTGGGGACGGGATGCTGGTGAGAAGCGCACTGGAGACACACCGGAAGGGAAGCAGCCCCGGGAGACTCCTGGGCCAAGGAGAGGGGAAGGACCGCACCAGAAGAGTCTCTGTGCAGAAGCCCAGGATGTGAGCACCTCCTGGCTGAAAGCACGCGGACTCGCGGGAAGCTCTCCGCCGCTGGGGACCCCTCATGCCCGCCCCCCTTCCCCGCCCCACGCGCACTCCCAGCCGGCAGCAGCTCCTGCTCTGCTGTCCTGTGCTGGATCGCTTGAGCTCTTCTCTGGAGGCAGCCTGTGTGTGTGTGTGTGTGTGTGTGTGTGTGTGTGTGTGTGTGTGTGTGTGTGTACACACACGCACGCGCTATATAAGGGCTCACTGGCGAACTCTGCGTTTGGCGTGTTTGTCACGGGCGGGTTTTTACACACGCGTGAGGCTCCCAGGGACGGCAGGGTGGAGACGCATGCTCGCCTTTCTCTCGGCCTGGCACCTCCCCTGCTCCTCCTCCTCCTCCCGTCCTGGTACGTTACCTGGTCGCTGGCACCGGGTGGGCACTGCGGCTCTCCGTTCCCTCCTAGGCGCAGCCGTTTCGCCTCGCTGTTACCCAGTGAATGGAATTATTTATTTATTTATGTCCCCTGACGTGTCCTCGCCTGCCACAGCCCGAGGTGGGAGGAGGAGGCAGCAGCGAGGGGAGGCGCGGTGGCGGCGCCCTTGTGGATGCCCCGGAGCGAGCGCCGGGCGGGAGGGGGGCTGGAGAGGAGGGAGTGGTGAAGAACCCCCGGCTAGAGCCATTCGCTTCGCAGGGACCGCCCGCTGCGGGTGGGGACAGAACCGCCGCCTTGTGATTCAAGGGGGACTGAGCATGCTCCAAGCCCTTGTCAACGCTGTAGACACTTTCTCCGGGGCTGGGGCACTCCACTTCAGGTTTTAGTTTTGACCAAGAGAGAAAGTCAAAAGTCTAGTGGAGAGAAAAGTTGTTCCAGATTGGTACCGACTGGCTTTATCCGAGTCCTTTGGCCCTTAACTTCGGCGCCAGGTGTGTGGTAGCTGTATGTAGATGCCCCAGGGGATTGTGCAACCTGGAGCACAGAATTGCCCGCGGAAGGAGAGGAGCCTGGCAGAGTGCAGGGCGACCAGGGCATTCTCTTTATGAGCTTGGAGGGAAAATGTCGGGCCATTTTTCAATTGAGGTCTTTTGTATGTGGTGTGTGTGTGTGTGTGTGTGTGTGTGTGTGTGTGTGTGTGTGTGTGTGTGTGTGTTGGGGGAGGGGGGTGGCAGTGTTGGAGATTAGGCTCACCAACTAAATCACTCTAAGGGAAAAAAATAAAATTTACACTGTGGGTGGAAGAGTATAGAAAATAGCACCAGAACCTGAAAATATATAAGAAATGAAAGAAAGTCATTTGAAAATCATTCTTTTTTCTTTTTAGTTTCTCAAATGACTTCATTCTTCAAGGTAGAATTTAGTTATTTGACAATGAACAGTGCTAGGGATATGGTAATTACACAGTCATTAGTTTGGCGTCTTCTCTCTCTCTCTCTTCCCTGTCTGGAACATGTTTCTTGGGGAAACTGGAAAGAGGAAAAGGCTGGAAATGAACATTTAGCTTGGGTTCCTTTAATGTCTTGAAGGTTAAATTACTAGTTATAGAAAAAGAAACGGTCCGGAAGAATAAATGCAGGCTCGGATTTGACGGTTCATTGTGCAGTTTTTCTATCAATTCAACTGACCCCATCCCCTTCTTGCCTCTAAAAAGTGAAAGAGATAAAATGTTATGTTAATCCTGGATGATAATATAACTTCCTGGAAGCTTTTCTTGTTTATTTTATAACTTAACAACATTTGTTGTTGAGAGCTTTGAAGCCCCAAAGACAAAGGATCAAAATAGTAATAATAGAAAATTATATTTATTTATTAAATGTGTGGAGGTTAGATCCAAGTCACCCCAACATGTGCCTCTGTGGTATAAAAACTGTTTTGAGCTAAAGGCAACTTGAGCCACAGGCTCAAGAGAAATTTCTGCCCCTAACTTAACTACCTAGAAGAACATGAATTGGGGCCTTTCCCTTTAGTAATTATTAGAGATGGCCTCACCTGACCTGTCTTTAGGGCAGAGTACATTTCTATTTACTAAACCTCTGTTTTTACTGGCCTGCAATGACAATTTGAAGCCTCCAAGGTACATTACCTCATTCCTAGCTCAGAATGTCTTATATACCTGAATCCCTTTCTTCCTCTGACTCTCTCTCCTGCATGTAGGGTCCCTGATTGTTTCATGTATGTGGGGTCCCATACATATGCATGTATTAAATTTAGTTATTTTCTTTTGCTAATCCATCTCATGTCTGATTATTATACCAGCCAGAAGAACTTTGAGGGTAGAGGAATGTTTCTCCTCCACAGAAGTGCTTATCATTATCAAACACTGTTCTAAGTACTCATATGGATTACCTCAATTAATATAATAACTTTATTAGATTATTCACACTTTACAAATTTGAAGACAAATTAAGTCACTTAGCTAAATTTACATTGCCACCGGGCTGGTGTGGCTCAGTGGATTGAGCATTGTCCCATGGACTGACCAGGTGCAGGCTCAAACTCCAGAAGGGGGCCTGAGGGAGGCAGCTAATTGATGTTTCTCACATCAATGTTTCTCTCTCTCTAAAAATAATAATAATAATAATGAATTCACATTGCCTTACTTCTGCCATAGCTTGTCTATAAACTAGGACAAAATATGAATTTTAGTGTCCGTAGCTACAAACTTGAAATAATATCAGCTTTTCATTGCTTTCATAAGATTTAAGTGAGATAATAGATGTGAAGTGGATGGTAGATAATATGATAAATAAATGGTAGATATTATTAGTAACTTCAAAAGGTTTGAAATACAATTTTATAAAAAGGGGTAGTTTGGAAACTAAGGCAGAAAAATCTAGAAAGAACTGTAGCTCTTTTTTAAAGCTAAAGTGAGTAATTGACATTTGTATAAGATATTACAGGCATTTCATAATGATGGAATGTCTATCAGTGACTATAAACATTTCATTTTCATTACAAAACAATGTTAATTTTAAAAAATAAGACTCAAAAGACTTAAAAATCAAGGTCATATTCTTGAGTGTTTGCTAATGACATTTTTTTCTGTTCATTAATCATCTTTATTTCAAAAAGGAGAAGAAAGATTATGTATTTCCTGAATTTTGACCCTATTCTCCCTTTTCCTTTTCTTTGATTTTTCTTCTTTGTCCTGTGTTTTTTTAAAACTCCATGTCCTTGTCCTATTTAACTCATTGCCAAACTCGTAAACATCACTCCTCATAGCATTATATCATAACCAAGCTTTCTTTTTAAGTCTTGTTTTTCCAATAACTAAAATCTGGAACCAATTTACCTATGATCTTGCTCCATTGTTAGTATTTGGGGCTTCACTTCTAAATCACCTTGTTGCTATGGCTAGGCATGCTATGTAAATATTTGGTTAGGTTAGAAAGGAATCTGAAAGGAGCATTAGATGACTGACAATAAAGTTGGTTAATTTATCCTATGACTTATAGTCTCAATATTGTTCAGATATTGAGAAAAATATGTGTGATTTAGGGAAAAGGCAAACTATATGACAGAACTTGGAATGCTTTTGATAATATTTTTGCCTTGCTTTTTATTTTCAGGTTAAATAAGAATGGAAGAAACAAAGAATAGCAATATACTTAATATTCTTGCAGCTCACGTTCCACGTGTGAACTAGGGAATACATACAAAACAAAAACCAGCTAAATCCAAACGTTTTGTATATACCCATAGCCTCATATTCCTGGTTTTCTGACCCTTCTTCATTCCTCAGCCATGCCATACCTTCCCACATTTTTGTCTTTTCTCATTCACTACCCTCTTCTTTTTATCAAATTCCCCTAAGCGCCTTCCCACCCCTTTAAGGCCTAGCAAATGTGCGATTACATCTGTAGCATTTTAAGGATTCCCTCAATAAGAATTAATTCTGTCCCACAGGACATGTTGTACGACTCTATTTAGGGCATTTTCTTTCTGCTTCATAATATGGCTATACTTTTTTGTGTCTCCCCAATCTATTAGGCTGTCGGGGAGTAGACATGACATTTTATTTATCTCTGTAGTCTTCCAGCATTCAGCACAAATTTTTGCAGAAAGAAAGAGATTAATAATGTTAGCCAAATGAAGGAAAGGGATAATAGTGTACCTTTAGGCAACAGATTTTAGGGAGAAGCTGTTGGTGCTTACAATATCTATAATCTGCATGACACTCTCTTTCTCTATTTCTCTTAAAGTTATTTTGAGGCCATCTCACTAGTTTTAACTAATAGAATATGAATGAAAGTGATGTGGGGGTCCAGAATAAGTCACCCCAAGATGTGCCTCTGTGGTATACAGATTGTTTTGAGCTAAAGGCAACTTTAGTCTCAGGGTCAGGAGAAACTTCTGTCCCCCACCCTTCACTGCCTAGAAAATTTTGAATTAGAAGCCTTGCCTATAAGAGACTAGCAGCACTATGTTTTTCAACCCACCTATAAGGCAGGGCAAACTTTATTTACCAAGCATCTGCTCTTATTCTGCAATGACCCTTTAAAGCCCCAAAGGTGCATAACCTCATTCCTCGTTCAGAATGTCTTATATACCTCAAACCCCCTTGTATCTCTGACTCTTTCGTGTGTTTGGGGTTCCCATACACATGTATGCAGTACATTTGGTTATTTTCTCTTGCTAATCTGTTTCATGCCTACTTGACTGTTGGACCAGCCAGAGGAAAATTGTTCTTCCCCACAGTGACATATGCTGTTTCTGGGTAATGGGGATTAAGGGCCAGGATGCCTCCATCATTCTTGCCTTTCTCGGCTTTAACAGCCTCCTGTTTTCAGATGGAGTAGCTACAAAATGAAGTTACTGAAAGACTTTTTCTAAAAAGCTGCTTGACTTACACGGGGCATTGTGTGAACAAGAAACCATTATTGTGTTAAGCCACTGAGGTTTCCGGCTTTATCTGTCATGAGAATATAACCTAGCTTATTCTGACCAATAAAATATCTTACTTAATAAGATTATAGGTCATAATGGCATAAATAAATGAAACATTTAGCTTATGAAAATGGTATAATGTGTTTTTAAGTCAAGCCAAAATTATATATTCTCACCCAAAATTGGTATATAATGTCTTTTTATAGAAAGACTCTGTGAGACCCAAGTTGGTGTGTGATTGTGTGTGGATACTATGCAATACATTATTTTTTGTTTTGTTTTGTTTTTGATACGTGCTCCTAGCAGGAACCGAACCCGGGATGCTCTGGTCCTCAGGACGATGCTCCTACCGCTGAGCCAAACCGGCCAGGGCCATTGGTTTTAACTAAGAAAAAAGACCCTATGTCATAATATCCCCCTTAGCCTGAGTGAAAAAAAAACAAAACAAAAAACATGCACCTGCCATCCAAGTGGTAGTGTTACGGGGAAGGGGACCTAGCCCTGAACGGGTCTGCCGAGGACCGGCCAGTAGTGTATGGGTTCTTGACAGATTGGTCAGTGTTAGGGCAGTCATTAGTCATTGCAGCT